CAGATGATGAGTATTATATATATCTATTAATTCATCATAAAAAGTTTTAATATCTGTACTTTTTTTCCCCAATTTTAGCTTATACTTATATAACCAATAATACAAGTATTTAAAACCTGCTTTGTCTAATGAAGCATAATCACTTCCATTATATATTTCATTTAAATATTTCAAAGATTGGCAGCATATTTCATTAATATTAGAGTTAAAAATATCTGAATACTTATCACCAAATTTATCACATTTATCATTATATAAGCTATGTGCGTTCCTTATTTTTATATGACCTAAAACTTCTTCACATTTAGGAAATAATAAATGTATAGATTCATCCTAAAAATAAGAAATTAATCAGAGATTAAAAAACATTATATTCTTCTTAATGAAGTTATAAAATATATGCGAAAAAACGTTTATACAATTATTATATTATTGTAATTTATATTTTAATAATTCAAAAATACGTTACATACCCACATCTTAAAATCTTTATATGCACTTATAAATTAATTAAATAATGATATTTAAAAACATTAATATATCAATTTTTAAAAATTAAAACATAAAATATAAATAAATATTATTCTAATCTTTATAATAACTAGATAATTCATATAAAAAGTATATTAACTCATTTGAACATATATATAATTTTCCTAAAATGCAGTTGTAAGTATATTTTACAAAAAATGTTATATTCTAATAATTATTTAAACTTAAAAATATAAAAATTAAATGATTTAAACAATAATATATTGTTATACATTATAATATTTAGTTCATTAATGAAAAAGTAATATATTACAATAAATGGTTTGCTCAGGTTTTATATAAAAATAAAATGTATCTTTTATAAGACAAACTAACATTTCCTGATATTTTTATGATACATATATCATAATGATAATGAATCATTAAATTATATATGATGTTTTCATGTTATATGTCTTATAATATTTATTTTATAAATAAATTTAGTTTTAATGGTTCATGCATTTTTTAAGTTACCTCCCACAATATTTATAATAATAGGGAAGAATGTATTAAAATTTTCAAATTTTTGTGATAATTATGATTATTAGATAAAATTGATCACATAATGAAGTAACAAATTAACTCATTATGAAATATGAACACATCATATTATCATTTATCGGAGTTCAGGCTTTACATACATGGTTTATAGTTAATCATTTATTTTTTAAAATTTCATACCTTAAATTTGAGGCTTTGAGTTTAAGAGATAAATGTTCAAACATTTCATATTATCTATAGGTATGTTGCTTTATAATTTAATTATAATTTTTCTTGGATTTCTACTTCTGTTATGATTTCATTATAAATTATTTAATATTAAATTTATTATCAATATAATGAATTATGTAAATAATTCGTTCATATTTCAATATAATATTTGATACTATTAATTTTTAATTCCTTATTTAATAATTATTATTGACTTATATATATTATTGTAATATTCTTTAAAGACTTTTTATTTATATATATTTTTTTATAATCTATCATGATTTCGTATATTATTATTATATATAAATTGAACTAAATATACATAGATATATATGAATAATACTTACATACATTTTTATTTATATAATAGTTGATAATAAAAAAAAATACATTATAATCTTTATATATAAAAGAAACTAATCATAAATAATGTCAAGAATATTTATATGTACTTTTTAACTCCATATTCTTTTTAATAAAATATTTAGTACTTTTTAATCAATGCTATTAAAAAATAAGGCTTCATATAAACATATAGTTATTGTATGACATCATTTCAGAATGTTCTATGTGTATTTCTAGAAATTATATAATAATTAACACTTTTTTTTGCTCTATATATTATTGTGTTTAATATAATTTTTATTAATCTTTTCATTGAAAGAAAAGATAGTTTATTTATATATTTTTCTAATATAATTCCATAATTTAATTAAAAAATTTATTTTGCAATCATTAAGTAATTTGTACTATAATAATGCATTGATTTATTCATAATTATTACATAAACATTTGATGAAATTTTCTTCCACAAAACTTATAACAATGTTCATTTTCATCTAATACATTACCGTAATACATTTTAAATTCTTACCTATATATCTATGACATTATAAAGTCTACATATATTTTAGATTCTTCTTATTCCAATATATTTAAAATTAAAAGTAATATTTTAATAATTAAAAGCATTTTTTTAAATATTTTAAATATCCAATTATAGCTAATCCTTAAAATGTTGAATTCATACAGATATTATAAAGACTTACATGGGAGTTTTAATTTCCTTATATCTAGTCGAAGGTATAAATCATTTTTATACATATTAAATAAAATATCATAATATAATATTACGGAATTTCAAATACATTCTCATATTAAAGTATATATTCTTTATAATAATAATGCTTTATATTTTATAAATATATGCATTAATTCCAATATTTAAAAGCAAATAAAAAATGCATATTAAATAAATCAGGAGAAATTACTGATAATATGAGTATATATATTTTAAATAAATTATTATGGCGTATAACTAATATATTGTATATATGAAATATATACAACATTATACTTAAGTAATGATTATGCATTAATATTGTTATATAAGACATTTAAAAACTTTTTTTCATATTATTTATATGTACAATTACACAATCAGTGCATAATAGCTCCATATTTTAATATAAATAAATGCTTAATATGAACCGTTATTACAAGAAATTGTGAAAATTTAATAGTTACAATAAATAACTTATATTATTTCTATATAGCATTGGTTTTGATACGTTTATCATGTAATTGTTTATAAATTATTTAAAAATAAAAAATTTTGCATTATATTCATTAACAAGCATTTGATAATATGGGTAATTGTATATATGTAGACAAGAATGTACGCTTTTATTTGTCATTAATCTATAGTTTATATCTGCTACTTTTAAATTTCTATGATATATAAACATAATGTGTATAATTTTTACATTATCTTATTGATTTAATTTTTATCATATATAATGACCTTATTTTTTAGATTTATTTAAAGATATTTTTCCCTAATGTATGGAAGATTATAATAATGCTAAAAATCCTATTATAGAGGATAATGAGGATTAAGAGTATCAATAGTACCAATAGTGTCAATATTATCAAGAGGATGGAGTGGGTAATGCTAAACATAAAGAACCATGCACAAAAATAATTGTTAAAATAACAAATTTGTATAAGACTTTTATTATTTCTTGTCAACATATTATCCAATATTTAGAACACAAAAGAAAGAATGGATCTAATAAAATAAAAGCATCATGTAAATATTGGTGTTGCAACCTAAAGAATAATCTAAAATTAAGTAATCCATCTTGTTCTTGGGAAAAAATGTTATGAAATAATGAAAAAGGAGGTAGAAAATGATTGTAAGGATGTATTTGATATATGCAATGGCCACCTTGTTGATATTAGTCATAGTACATATTACATTATCAAAAAATTAAAAAATTTGTATGATGATTATTTATATTTAAATTATCCTCCTTATAATTGTAACTTTGATGATGAATGCTATAAAAATTATAAGGAGCTTATATTAATAAGTCAAAATAGCTATAACAACAGTTTCAATGACGTTTTGAAAAAATTTAATGATGAATATAACTCAAAAATGAAGACATGGCCTGGATGCATAAGCGTACCTAAAAGTCTATATTCCTATTATGGGAGATATGGAGACAAGACTTTTTTAGCTTCGTTCCTTGTAATTACTGTCATATCAATAACTACATTTATTATATATAAGGTTAATAATATATTAATTTTATACAAATTGTATGATATTACAATTTATAAAACAAGCTGTTATACAATTTAAATATCATATGAATACAACATTCATAAAAATATAAGTTTATTTCTTTATTTTCCGTATACTCATTATGGATCTTACATATAACCAATTGTAATGAAGCTAAAGAGATTTTATCAAAAAAGGAATGAAGCACTTAAAATAAGTGACTCATTTGAAAAAGAATACAAAAATTTAACTGATAAAAATTATACATTATTATATAACACTGTAGAATACTAGTAAAAATATAGGTAGATTTAATGTTTACATATTATATTTTATAAGGTTCAGTGTTCAGCTTTAGTGTTTAGCGTTAAGGGTTCTGTTTTTATAATTTAACATATGATATAAGTATTCATTTTTATCGTCCCTATTTTTTCCTTCCTGTTGTTATATTAATGCTTTGATCAATTTCAACGATCATGATTTACAATTATGTTATAATGATTGATTCAATTTTATTAATATTGTACTTTGCTTTTATGTGCATTAAATAAAAAATATGGACATGGTCTGTAAATGATATTATACATTATTTTATTTTTATTATGTTAATATCCCATAATATTATAAAAAAATTTATATTTTTGTATATATTTATCATTACATCTTATATGAAAATATAATATTATTAGGTATATTGCAGGATAAATTTAATTTTATCATAATTGTATTTATAGAATTGTTTATATATATATATGTATAATTTATTCCTTATAATATTTGTTATATATACCATTCCTATGGTATTTTATTGTTTATTAATCAATG